AGGAGGACGTTTGGAATCTTTATGGAATCTTTAGCCGCTTCTTCTCCTTGAGGCATTGGTTCCCAGACGGGCAATAAAACGGAGGACATCTTCGACTCATCTCTTACTCTGGAATTGAAGACATCTATTACAAAAAAGAATAGAGGGCAATATTGTTCTTGATACACAACATTTACAATCCTGCGATATACCCAAAACTAATTTAAAACCCATCTTAAGCCTTCGGCCGGTGAGAGAGGACGAGAATAAATGAGAGAGAGAAAAGAACGGTCGTCAGAAACAGGAGAAATTGCTCGCTGGAGTCCGCCGGACTGGTTATACGTGGAAGGGGATGACGCCGGGCTCACTGGTGAACCAGGGCTGTAGACTGGATGTTGTTATGTCGGAAGAGGAAGTCGCCGGGAGTTTCTGCCATGCCTGCTGGTTCACCTCTGGAGAAGGAGCAGTTCGCCAGTGACCTCGAGTGAAAGAAGTTGCGTACGTACACATTGTTCTTTCTTTTTCCTTTACATTTGTGGGCCACCTTATTGGGTTGGATGGTCCAACACTCCAACCCCATTTAACACATAGCTAAATATGTGAGTTAAATGTAATGTTTTATTACTTCAAAGTTCAAACACATATAGAATTACAACCTTGTCTGAAATATTTATTGTTCATAAAACTGATTTGTGAAATATGCATTTGGATGAAGTTTAATTAGATCAATATTCTTAATGTATTTCTAAAATATTGATCAAGGATGAACAACATTTCTGCGAAAGCTTTGTTCAATCACCGAGGGACAGCCATAAATCAAGCTACTCAAGTAAATCCTTATATAAAAGCTGCATTCTACACATCAGTTTGGGCAAAGACAAAAGTTGTACTTACAAGCATAAATGTTTGTGTTTTATTTACTTATTCACTAATTATTAGATTGTATAAACAGTTCTATACTTGTAATTGTGTTGCACCCAACACCACATTTTCTCTAAGGAGATCGTCTTGTTTATATAGTGTCTCCTAGTGTTCTATCTTATGGATTTACAAATCCAAGTAGCTCTATTTAGTTCAACGCTTAAGAGGTAATCAAACCATATAATGTGTTCGATACTCAAAAGTATTATCATTTCCAACCTTTTCATGCTCGCTCATTCTTATTTGAATCAATACATATGTGATTACATATATTTCTTCCTCCAGTACACAAATCTCAATCATAAATTTATTACTTTATTCTTGTACATGCAAGTCAAACTTCACCAAATTTTATGAGACGGAGGGAGTCTATTGAAACATAAAATACATACAAATCACATATTTTCCACACAAAATCTGGTTGACATGGAATATAACTATTCCAACAATTTTTAAAAATATACACGATACGTAGTATTTCGTTAACTGTTTACAAAACTCTCATAACAATTTCCATATAATATTTTTTTTTACAAAAGATAGCATTGTTTTAATATTTCAATATTGGGCAAACACTCTCGCGCCTTGCGCGAGTAATCGCTAGTGCTAGTATAAGTACGGTGTAGCTAACATAAAGACTTTTTCCAATTTTACATAAAAATTTATTTACGAAATTACGATCAGATTAAAAGTATTTACTACTACTTTCCACGGTAGGAATATGCATATGTAGAAACTTCGGTATATGAACCGTACTTATATGATGTTTTCCTCACTAGACATATACTTCCTTCGTCTCATTGAACTTTATCAAATTTTCCTTTTTAGTTGCCCATTTGTTTTTTGTAATTTTCCAATTAAAGTTACTAATTTATTGTTATATTCATTTCTCTCTTCCCTGAATAAACCACAACCACACAATTTTTACTTTTCCACCATGACAGATGTAATATATGTGAACTTATTAGGAGTTGTACTCGTCGTTAAACATGTCATGTCGTAGACTCGCCAATGACGTTGAAACCACCGTTTAACCCAGTTGCTATACCGTGGGAGCAGCCCACGGTGAGCATGGTGCTCCCACACACAAAAATGTTTGTTACTGTTCACGCGCGTGAACAGTAACTTTTTGTTTTTTGTTTTTCATTGTCCAGGAGCAGGATGATGTAACTTGCGTATAAAAAATTGTAACTCTCGCTGTTTAGAAATGTAACTGCAAGCTGCTCGAAATGTAACTTGCCTAATACGGATTATAAGAAATAAAATATTGATCTTAATGAAAACAAGGAGTCTAATTGCTCAATTATTTTACCTAAATAGGGAATATGTTTTGTTTTTAACATGAAGACCATAGAAAATGTTTTTTAAAAATTATTTATGCTAAAAAATCATTTTTTTAACAAAAAATGAGTGTTTTACTAAAAAAATCATTTGTTTGTTTGCAAAAAAACTATTTTTTTTGCAGGGTTTATTTTGTGATGTAACACATGTTATGGAAAATGTAAATCGTGTTGATGAAAATTCTAACTTAGATAGTTAGATGTATGCAAAATGTATCTTGTTAAGACAAGTCCGGATGTAACTCACGCCCATAAGAAGATGTAACTCAAGCATAAAAAAGATGTAACTCGCGCATAAAAAGATGTAACCCCATATACTATCAAATGTAAACAATGAAAACAACGAGTCTAATTTCTCAATTATTTAAAGTAATTAGTTAATGTTTTTTGTTTTTAGTATTAAGTCCATAAAAATGTTTTAAATTAAAATATATTTTTTTCCATAAAAATCATTCCCCCCCAAAAAAAATTGTTTGCAAGATATTGTTTTTTTTTGTTCCAATACCAGGGATTTATTTTGTAATGTAACTCGTGTTATGGAAAATGTAACTCACGTTGATTGAAAATCTAATATGCAAAATATAACTTGTTGATGTAAGTCCAAATGTAACTCGCATAGAGTAACGTATGAATATGATTTGCATCTTCACACCGTGTTGTCCGCCGACCTTGTTCGTCATAGGACTCATAGCCCCTGCCTGACCTAAATCGTGGTCTATTGAAACCGCCTAAAAACTATCATACCAGGAATGTATGAATATGATTTGCATCTTCAAATGGACTACAACATACTATGTTTTTGGGAGATTGAACTTACATTCATAAGTTGAATTGACCGCAAAACACATGCGTTTAGATGTTGAATTTGCCACAAACTTGCTTTGATTTGTGAAGAGGATAAGGAGCCGTAATTTATATTGCTTTGAAGAGGAAGATCTGACCGGTTTTCAGTTTGCCGAAGTGGTAAAAACAAAAACTTTTTATTAATCATTACACACCATCACATTTTAAAGACTATGTTGTGGACACAAATAACATTTTTTAGGCACAAGGTTTGCACGTGTGTTGAGAGCGGGAACATTTATAAGCTTTGCGATTCCCTTTTTATATGTATATAGATTTGACATAAAGTAATAGTAACTTATTATTAATATAGTGCACAATATATAATATTTCTTACATATTTAAATAAAAGGCCCAGTTTTTACGGTTGCACAGGGTCCCTGCTTTGTTAGGACCGGCCCTGTCTACAAGGTACCCTTGTGTCCTTTCAAAAAAATTATTTTAAGTTTTAGAGTACTAAATAATGCCCCTCGTCCCTTAAAATTATGCTCACTTACCTTTTTGGGATGTTCCAAAAAAATACTCTTATTTTCCTTTTTGGAAAGTTTTGTGTGACTAACATTCATTTATCTTTTTCTTACTCAACAACAATCATACATTTACACTTTATTCTCATTTTATTAAACTCCAATCCAAGTCAAACCAGAAGACTTTTATGGGACGGAGGGAGTATTTAACAACCAACACAACAATTTATGAGCTTGTTTGATAACTCTTATTTTCAGCTTATCAACAACCTTATCAATCAATTTTTTTACCAAACATGTAATTTTCTTTTAATTCGCGCGCTGAATTGAGAATAATCAAAATATGTAAGGTTGAAGTTAATTTATTTAGCTAAACCAAATTGGGTGAAGTTATTGCAGAACACCATTTTCATTATTTTTATGGATTTTTTTTATTTTTATTAATAAAAAATATATTTAAATATAATTTTTCCATGACTCAGAAAATTCAGCCAATGTAGTCACTTTAATAAGAATTTCATAAATTATAGAATATTCAACCAATGCAGTCATTTTAGTCAAAAGTTCATAAGTTTTAGCAGATTCAGTCGATTCAGACAATTCTAGTGTTATCAAATGGGCTCATGTTAATACAAAATTGTGATGCTTATGCTAGGTAATCTCATGTAAGACCTATCGAGTATAAGCATATAGGTTTTCAATTCACTCACTTGTAATATATATTGTTTGCTATGATTATAATGTGGTCCTGATTCAACCAAAGCTGGATCAATTCTCCAACTATGGACATCCCCATCCATTAGATTATTTAAGGTTTAATTGGATGATGTGGAAGATTATTTGAAAGATTATTATTGTGAGTGAGAGATTATTTAGAGAGATTATTGAAAATGAAAATCCGGTATCAAGATTTGGATGCCGGATTATTTTAGATTGTAGTTAAATTGCATTTAATGCATGGTTTGGAAAAACTAATTATTTGAGTATCATGGTTGATCAAGAGTTTTAAGATTTGAGATTATTTAAAATTTATTAAATAAATGTGATGTGGCAATGATGTACAATTGACAAACCATTTATTTTAAGATCACAACCTTCAACTTGCTATTATAGCCACGGTTTTTTTATTAATATAAAACAAATCCGTCAAAAATCAACACTTAATACTATAGCAATCGAGTATCATTACAAATTTATAACATTTCTAAGCACTTCGTTTATTATCACTACATTCCATATTAATATTAAGGTTAATCATTTATGAAGATGATGATATTTTTGTAATTTAGCCGGTGTAGGGATTCTACTTATTTTACTTTAATTAGCTTGCATATTTTTTTAAATAGCAAATCTTTGATTCTTATGGTATTTTTTCAATTATAAATGTTGAACGGAGCATAGCATCCATAGGATAAGTCATATAATCACGCATACAATCACATGAATGCCATATAATTACAACAACATAACTTCTTTTGTTCTTATTGAATTATTACACCAATATTAGTTTAAAATTTGTCAACCCCAACCGAAACTAGACAAAACATATGTTAAACATGACTTATCTTATCCCTCTTGGCGCTGGACTTTTTTCGAGGAGTTGATGACACTTATTTTAAATAACACATTGCTTCTTGTTCAAGTGGACCCTCATCAGAGTGTTGTTGGATGTATATTGTGGTTTTAAACTAAACGAGTCCATATGGATCTCTTTATTTGTATGTTGAATACTTTTATCGATCAAAGGTCCAATAGATCAAACCTTTAGGCCAACTATCAAGTCTACTCCATTCATTTGATTTTCACTCTTGTAGTTAGCCATGTATAGTGCGCCTATGTGCCAACATGAGTGGAGCTCCGCAACTCCCATTGATCAAAATGAATTGAAATAGAATCTCATTTATTCAATTGATGTCAAGTTCTTACTATAAAAATAAAAATAAATGATAAGCAAATGGAGAAGAAGAGAAAATGGGTAAATGACGCAAATAAATACACACCCTAGACAAAGTAAGTTTTTTTTTTTGGGAAATTTAAGCGTCATACTTTAATGTTGTGTATGACTATGAAAAATATTATAGGTTTGTATTATAGCCCGTTTGGTAACACAGAAATTGGCCGAATTGACTGATTCTACTTAAATTTATGAAGTTCTGGCTGTAGTGGCTGTATTGGCTTATTTATGAAAAATTATATTTAAAATATTTGTTATTAATAAATAAAACAAAAAATTATATGAAAAATAGTTAAAATGATTCTCTACAGTAACTTCAGCCAATGCAGCGAGAAAAGTAACTTCAACCTTACTTTTTTTTATTATTACACAATTCAGTGCATGAAGTCAAAAGTTACGTGTTTGGTGAAAAAACCGACTGATAAGCCTGATAAACCGAAAAATGGGCCATCAAATGGGCTCTTAGTCTCCAAATATGTCAAAAAATTATGTGTTTTAGTTTTTGTAAGTCTCAAATGTGGGTTGGGTGGGGGAAAAAAAATACATACCCGGAGTATATGGTTTGGCAAAACATTACATAATTCTGTCTAAATCTTTTTGCTATTTGGGATAGTCTTTCATGTTGTGGAGATAAATGGGCTCATAACTAATGTGCAAGGTTGGGTTTGAAACATCTACTATTAGCCAATATAAATATACTAAGCTCACATTCAGTGGCGGATCCAGGAAATGAAACAATTGGGGGCGGAACAAAAATGACGTGAATGAGGAAGAAGATATAATGAAATACCCGAATAGCAAAATTTTGTAATACAATACATAAGAATTTCCAAACTAAATAAAGTATATTACAATACAAAAAACCTAAAAAGTGAATCACAAATTCACAATCGCTATCTTCGAGTTTTCAACTTTTGAAAGAGATCAATAATAATTTAATTTGTAACGATTCCAAATACATCTCTTTCTACTCCGTATAAAGTAAAAAAACAATCATTTAGAACTCTAATTTCATCTTACTAAAATTAGAAAGTTACTATACTAAAATGAGGGCAGTTCACATTAGCAGATCCTGACGGGAACTGCGGTGCGGAATTCATTGTTTGGGTGGTTTCCAATGGAATTTGTTGATGAATTTTGTTGAGCATGTTCTTCATTAAGTCTAGTTTATGTATATCAAATTTCAGCCCACAATTCAATTGTGAAGATAGTTAAATAAATTCTTGAAATATACTACGTTTTATATATGTACATATAAAGCGCATGATCGGTTCAGCTCCTGACTCGAACAGGACTTTACTAAAACTTCTATAGGGAATAAATTATACTTCGATTGTTTCCTTATGGAGTATTATCTAAATAATACGGGTACATAAAAAGGGAATGATCATCAAATCTACACATTAGTATTTTAACAATTTAGCATCAATACACAATGACACTTAAACACATACGGAGTAAAAAGTACACAATAATCATTAGTGAAAAATACTCAAACAATTAATGCTTAATATAATAGACTTAAAAGAGAGAGTGAGAAACTGACACTTTTCAGTTCATCTCCATGATGCCATAGCCGATGCTTGTCTTAGTCTTATTAGTTGTCTGCTCTTCGTTCCAATATAGTTATGGGGGCATTTCACTTTTTTTATTGGGGACAATTATGTTGGTCAATTTTTTTCCTTGTATAATATAGATAACTATTGCCAGTTTATTGGGGGCAGCTGCCCCCCATACCCAAGCTATACATCTGCCCCTGCTCACATTACATAAGATATCTAAAAGTTTAAGTTTATTTTAATTTGTGATCATTCATCTTACATTACATCAATAGTCACCATGCAGCATCTTGACCAATACTTAATAATATGACCAAACTATAGTGAAAAGTTTGTGTCATTGATATTTTGATAATCTTGCAGGCTAAAATCACAAATTGTAACAAAAATGTTTATTTTAGTTGTCATCACGCAGCCCGGTACAAAGAATTTGGCAAGCGAGGCTTCGCGATAGCAAGGAGTGGATTCTGAAGAGAAAAGTCACGCTTCGACTCAACTAAGGGTATTGTGGGTGAAATAGGTGGAGTGGTCCATGTGAAAGCTTGGAGAAGCCTAGCAAACAACATTGTTGTTATTAGAGAGCCTAGTCTAACTCCAACACACCCTCGTCTTCCTGTACTGAATGAAAGCACCTTAGATTCAAGATCTGTCAAAACCACTTCATTGGTTGGACTTTGATTGAGGTGCCTTTCTGGAATGAACTTGAGTTCATCCTCCCATACCCTAGGATTCCGACCGAGCCCATAACGACTGGCTAAGATAATACTACCTTTGGGAATGAAATAACCACCGACTATTGCATTTTCGGAAGAAACATGTGGGACATTAAAGGGGGCAATGGGGTGAAGACGGAATGTCTCACGTATACATGCCTTTATGTAGTTTAATTGAGACAAATCAGTTTCATGGACAAACCTCTCTCTCCCAACCACATTGTCTAACTCTTGTGTAGCTTTTTCTAAGATTTGAGGTTGATTTAGCATTTCAGCCAATGCCCACTCAAATGCATTTGATGGGTTATCAACGGTTGCTATCATCATTTCCTGCATTCATAGTATTCAGTTAGGCAAAAACATACTACCTCCGTCCCTAAATGTTCTTCCGTAGTACAAATGACACACGGATTAAGAAAGTGGGAATTGTGTGGTAGAGAGTTGTGCAGAAGAGAGAGAAATGTGTAAGAATTGCTGTGAACCACAAATTCTTTGCCAAAAAGGGAAAGTGAAGTTCTTTTTGGGACGGACGAAAAGGGAAAGTTGGAAGTTCTTTTAGGGATGGAGGGAGTACTTATTTTATGTATTATGCATTAGAATTCAAAATCTAACTAAAAGTTGGGGAAAAATTTGATCTAAACAATTTTGCAAATAAGTAAAACCAAACTTGCATTTTCTCATCATTCACAAAAAAGGTCCTCACCTGAATTGACCTCATTGTATAGGGATAGATGATGCGTACTATTTAGTAGTAGATAAACACCACATTTTAGAATGGTTTTACATTATGTTTACTTAGCTTTTGTACAATTACGATGTAATCTTTATCTTCTAAAATTAAAGAAGAATTAGAAGATATTAAGATATTTTGACATGTAAGCAAAAACATGATGAAAAGAAGAGGAAGGAGCTTGAGAGCTTCATGGAGGACAAAGATGTGTGAAAAATCGGATATGATTCGACCCGGAGATCATACAAGATCAAATAAAGCAAGTGAACATGCGAAAATCAGATTATGTCTTAGACCCAACTACCTCACTTCTCCTATAGAAACACCTCTTTCCTTCCTATTTTAGATACCAATTTAATCCCCTCTTTCATATACACTTTATTCTTGTAATTTAGGCAGTCTTTCCATCTTGGTTTTGCTACTTTGAAGCTTAATGAATTGTAAGTTGTGAGTTATTTTCTTTAATCTTCTTCCTTGAATATTAATTTTTCCCTTAATACTATCTCTATATTAATGTTGGGGAGTGTACTAAGATGACAATTAGTTAACATCTCGACATTAGTTAGAGTAGTATTTATTTACTTCCTTTATATTAATGTTGGGGAGTGTTACTAAAATGACAATTAGTTAACATCTTGACATTAGTTATATTAGGATTTATATCTTAATTAATTCCTATTCATATTTCATTTTAATATATTGAGCATTACTTAAAGGATCAACTAGTTTTGTCTCATATATTAATTATTACTAGAATCGATCGACGAATACACTTGTTAATCGTTCGATCTTTTCACGGTAGTAAACTTGGATTATTAATGCATGCGTCTCATGGTTAATAATCTAAGGGGAATTAATTATATTGATTAAACCAATAAACCGCTTGTGTTGAGGTTATCAATTTCAATCGTTTTCATCTTGAATTTATTGCTACTATCGAGTAAATATACGGCACGTGTTCTATATTAATTCGGTAGTAAGTTTTATTAATGAACACGTCTCGTTATTAATAACTACCCTCGATGAACTGGATATACTCCTCGATTGAGTATTCGAGAGGAAGATAGTTAAAGATATAACCGGGATCGACGAACATTTCATTAAGTGGATAAAAGCAAAACCAAGACTAATTACCTTTGATATTTTATTTCACTCATTTAGGTATTTTATTTGCTTTCTCAATTATCAAAATATCCAATTCCCCCTTCCGTTTACTTTTATTTATTACGCTTACACATACGCGAAAAGCTCCTTTCCCTGTGGATACGAACTCTATTACGCTATACTATGGTATTAGCCCTTAGTAGTGAATTTAATTTGAGGCACACTACGGCAAAGTGCTCGTCAATAGAATACACATATGCATAATATTTACAAGTTGAGGTCAGATTCAACGATTAAGTGCAGTAAAGTGATATCCTACGCATATTTTTTTTAATCTCAGCCCAAAATGAAATTTGATGAAAATATGGTCTATTATCTCGCTTTTTGTTCCACATATATTACCAAAAACATGTTTAATCAATTCATCTACATGCTTGGTTATATCCATTCTAACTGAACCGACAAGTGTGAATGGTTAAATAGAAAATCACACACACTTAGTATGTCTAATCATTGGAATGGAATAAAATTGCAGTAGACTAGGGATGACTTTAGTAACCCATGAGTGAACTAATCACTCATCATTTTTCGAAAAGTATATAGAATTTAGACTGTGAAGTTGGATGGTTGTAGCTTGAATTTCAACATAAGTTTACTTGGGTAGTAATGTCTTGTATCAAATAGTTCATAGTTAAAGTACTCCCTCCACTTATTATGAACTATGTGTCTGATTTTAGATTGCACAATTATTAATAAAGTGGTTGAAAATTAAATATTGTGGTTTATATTTACGTAAAATAAAGTGAAATGGTATAAAACGTATATTTATTATGAAACAAGTAATAAGAACTTACTTTGGGACATCCCAAAAAAGAAAACAAGACACATAATTTGGGATAGAGAGTATATTTTTGCAACTTACCTGCACACCAACAATACTACATATGAACAACAAGGTAAATAATTAGGAATAAACTTAGTGAGCACCCAAACATGCTCACTACGGAGCACATTTTAGATAAAAATTTGTCATACTTTTTGAAATGAAATATTTTCTACCACATAACATGGCAATGGTATGTGCTCCATAGTGAGCAGCTGAGCATGTTGGCGTGTTATCTGTATTTATTTCATCAATTAATGCATATACTTACAAAGATTAGGTCTTTAATCTCGTCATGAGTGAGCAATGGTGATCCATCAACCTCATTATGGAGTGTAATTAGAACATCAACCAAGTCATCTTTGACCCTCTTAATTCCATTTTTCCACATTGAGATCCTCTCATCGATTATAGGGTCAATATACTTTCTAGCACTCTCAAAGGCTTTATTGAGCATGCTGATGTGGCCGTCAAAATCGAATACACCAAGCCATGGCATGTAATCAGCAATGCCAAACACGAAGGTATAGCTGAGTAGTGTGAACAATGCCTCAACCTGCTCTTCCTCTTGTGGCCCAGGCGACCTTCCATTCATATTGTTATTATTGTCAAAGTATCTTTTTCCAAGCGTCATCCTCCTTATCACATTTCCACAATAATGTCGTGCGATAGATCTCACATCCACAACTGATGAAGAGTTATTGTATACGGAGCACACAAGATTATCAGCTTCCTCCATTCTTTTACCTTGAAGCCAATCATGAACGGCGGGAGATAAGACATGAGACGCGAGAATTCGTCTCAATTTTTTCCACTTGTCATTGGGGGGCATAGAAAAGACACCCTTAAATCCATTACTGGTGATGTTTAAGGATGTGAAAGTTGGCCTTAATGAGAAAACTTTGTCTTGTTTCTTTAAGAACTCGTTTGCTAGTTCGGGAGACGTGACAGGGATGACGTAAGTGGAGCCGAGCCGAATGCAAGCGATTTCTGTTTTCATTTCATCCATGAGTTTTAGTATCCACCGTGACGGAATCATCATTTTTTTTGCTTTCACCAGTTGTGGGAGGCTTCCTAGTAGAGGCCAACCTTTTGGGCCCGGAGGAAGTGGCGGGAACCGTCTTTTGGGATTCCTATGGAATCTCATCGTCGCTATCGTTGTTGCTATGATAAGCACCGCCCCGATTATGCAAGGATAATAAGAGATACTCCCTCCATCCCAAATCGCTAGTCCCATGTTCCCTTACAGAATGTCCTAAATTGATAATATCACTTTTCTTTTTGTCATATCAGTTTTATATAAACGTTCATTTAAATTTATGAAACTTTGTATAAAAAGGTACTTTGATAAGTTTATTCCATCTTTAAATTTGTGACTGAAGCTTAAAAGATATACAACCATTAATTTGGGACAAGAAGACTAGTTAAAAAACACAAAGTTGACTCCATCAAATACACGATTATGGGCTGAGACAATTGACAATTTTCAATCACGTACTTTGTCTTCCTGCTATGTGCCGACCATTGCTGGATATCTATAGATTTAAGAGCAATGAATATTTTATAAGTAGATGAGATATTAAGATTGGACCTGATGAGCTTCTAGCAAATTCAGATGCTTTACAAGCAAACTCAAAAGGAGGGAAAATAATACTAAATGAGTTAATAAAACAAGCTAATAAAATGAGCTTTAATATTGAGAAATGTATTTATTTAGATGATAAAAATAAGGATATTACATTATATACTCGTATTAATATTATTAGTTTGTGCACTCCACTTGAACAAATTTTCAAAATGTAACCATATTGCATCGACAATTTGATCCCTCTATGCACATATTTTTGTTGTTTGTCCCTATTTGCCAAATGTGTGATATAGAACAATATGGTCAATATCAATGAGGTGTATCATATCAATATGGGTGTATATGCAACAATCCAAGATCAGATTAAATCAAATTGATATAGATAGAATCGAAATCGAAATAAAAATTCCCAATATTATTGAATCATATATACGTAAATTTAAGGTAGGAATCAGACGTGAAGACACTACAAAAGTCTTGGATCTAAGATCAGACGGATAATTAGTAATGGGTATGGATTCAATCCTTGGTAATGTATTTGCTTCAATATTCCTGATTTTCTGATCTCGATCGTAATATAATCATTCCTAATTGTGATACGTACAAACTCCAATGGTAGTATTTAGTAGTGCCTTAAGGTACTCTTTGCTTTGAGATGAACCTAAACTCATTTATGCTTAATTTTTTATTTACCTCATTCGTTTATTTTAATATTTTTCTATTTGATGAAAATGTAATTCTTTACCAGCATTTGAGGTGAATTTGGGCCGAAATTTTTCACCCAAAGGCCCACTCTTCACTCCTTCATCACATGGGGTTGGACACATGTTTGGGTGAAAAGAACCAAGTTTAAAAATTGGTGACGTTATGTTCTTTTATTTACCTCATTCTTTTAAATTAGGTATTTAAAAGAACCTTATTTACTCAATGGGTTGGGGATGAATCTTTTAAATTAAATTGATCCTAATATGAGTATTTTATGCTCTATTTGTCTGACTGAAATGCAGACCTTTTGAAAATAAATAATACTTCAATCAGGAGATTAATCCCAAAAAACAGCACCTATTTAGAGAAAAATGACAACCCTCTCCTAAGGGAAAGACCTATCCATCAAAATTCAAATATTTGATAAATAATTTGTTCATGCAATATTTGGTACTCGTAGTTTTATACGATTCAAAATATATACAATTTAATAATAATAATAAATATTTATACTTCTTTTACATATGCCTATGTGTATTAGATGTTCATTTTTCAAAGATGGTGTAATGACTTATCCACCATCTAGGACAAAAGAGTGAGACAATAAGAAATTCAAATCATATGTTCATATATACATATATACTTGCTCACTTGTTATGTGACAAGATGATCAATTATATCAAGGCTATAGATAAAGAATTTAAATTTCAAGGTTCAGCCCATCAAGCAAAAAGAGGTGCACTGAATATGGATTGTGGTGAATATGTTTTACTCCATGAACTTTTAAAAAAGTTCATGGACTTTTGAAATCATAGACTTTTTTATGAGTGAATTATATTCTATTGACTTTTAAATCCATGGATAAGTTATAGACTTTCAAAAAGTCCATAGACTTTTAAATCCGGACCGCCGCTGCCGGTCACCAGAATTCTAGATCGCCGTTGTTGATCTGTCTGAATCTCACCGCCGTCTGCCGTCGCTGTCATCGGACTCATCCGTCACCAACAAAATAATTTGGTTATGCAAGGGATTTATGGGAAATTAAATTCATTATTAATCAATTAAATTAAGGGTAGAAATGTAATGTTTAGTATTATTTAAGGAAAATCAAACATATGATCATATTTTGGGGAGAATGCTATGTTTTAGTCCTACCGTGAGTAATTTCCTCTGTATAATATGATAAGAAACTATTACATAAATAAATGAAACAAAAGTAATTCATCTAGGAACACAAAGTTCTACAAGATAAATGAGGCATAAGCATCCAAATTTATTTTTACTAATAAGAAAACTCAAAATTTCTAGAATGCTCAACAAACTCAGTCTCTTTATGATCAATTATTATAATCCGTATTACACAACTCAATTAGTTAGAACACTAATCGTTACACAAGCATTACACTCATTGCTACATTGGTACAAGCATAGTTACAACGAGTTTTTCTTCTTAATAATTGTTTTCTTTTCATTTTTAGCTTGTTAAATATTTATTAATCTGAAATTATATTTTTATGTGTTAGCAGTTTAACGATGAAACACAATAATGGTTAACTAACAACATATCATACTTGCACTGATATAATACTATCGATTCTTATATCGGTTCTTCAAAAAAATTCTGGAACCAAATCGATTTTGAACTAATGGTTCTTCAAAAGGTTCCTAATTTTCTTTCAAGAACTGAACCAATCTCACCTCTACACTTTTCTTTGTAAGATGATATATAAAAAATCACTATTTTTATTTATCTTTTGTATCGGTGTTTTTTAAGTTTATCTTGTGTATCTTGTGTATCAATATTACTAAATATTTATTGTATAGTGAGACCATCCTGGTATCCACCTCCCAACCCGACTAGTGCTAGTCCTGGACCAGTTGGCAGATTTGTGATCCCTAATAAATAATTAGCCAAATCTAATGTTATTTTGCAACCAGATCTATGCATACTTGTGACGAGTAGAAGGCAACAATAAAGTCCATGGAAATCTTTGGTGAGGAGAAGAGACAATTGTAGAGAATTAATGTACTAAAAATGAGTTAAACGTCAACAAGAATCCATGGTTTTAGAAGTGAATATTAATAAATGGAAGTTTGAATACGCTTAGATCTTTACAGACTTTTAAAAGTTTACATTGAATACACCTAGACTTTTTTAGACTCTTAAAAGTCTGCATTGAATACAACTAAACTTTTAAAATCTACGGAGTTTTAAAAATTTGCCACTAATTCCTAATACAATACACCCCTAAGTGTCAAAATTATGGACTTCAACGTTAGCCATATTCACAACAATATTTCAGAAAACGCGTATTAATGAAATTGGACACCTCAGTTCCAAATGTGAATTCGAGACATCCAAATACTTATACTCAGATCAATTGAATACTCATTAAATAATGTAATAAAGAAATTTCTAAAACTTACTACGTACTTAATACTCCACTTGATTTAAAGAAACACAACTCATTATCAAGCAATTTGAGTAAAAGAGAACTAAAAGGACCAACTAAAAATTTATTACTACTTCCATCCCCCTGTTATTGTCCCATTACGGTTTACGATGTTTGACCGACGATAAAACAAACGGATCCCTATCCAAACTCAAATTATTTTAAGAAAAAAATTACTTATTTAGAAACTACATTAAAAATTTTACCAAGTCACAAAAACCACAATCAAATTTGATAAAAATTTGATACATAAAGTAAGAGATTAAGAGTGATTTGCGTTGACCAAGTGAATAGGAAATGAGACAATAATGATGGGGGGCAGAGGGAGTAGTATATAATATTAATAAATTTTTAAGAATCTACTGCCCCATAAATTGGGGGTCATATTCTGAATAATCTATTAAATAATACTCCCTCTGTCCCTAATTTACCTCCCCTTTTGACCCGGCACGGGGATTAAGATAGTGGGTTTTGTGTGGTGGAGAGTTGTGCAAAGGAGAGAGAAATGTGTAAGAATTGTTGTGAACCACAAATCCTTTGCCAAAAGGGGAAATAGGAGATAATTTAGGGACGGACCAAAAAGGAAAGTTTGAAGATAATTTAGGGACGGAGGGAGTAATATATAATATTGGGATATATTTTGTAATTTTAATATTCTCCGTTTATTATAAATATAACATCACTACACCCTATTAGGGTGAACTGTCATTCCACAGTTACTCTTTGCATATGGTATCAGAGACCCTTGGTTCCCTTAGGAGTTAGCGTCGTTTTTTTTTTTTGCATGGCTCAATCCTCCGCAGCTTCTTCTTCTTCGACAGCTACAGTACCGGCGCCCATCACTCACATGGTGCAGCCCTCCCCCCCTGCAGCACACTCTGCTACCGCTGTTCTCTCCTCCACCACGGCGCCCAACTTTGCTCCAGATCAGTTTGTCTCTACCGAGTTGTCTTCGCCGATACTTGACCGACCACGTTCCACACCTGGAGTTTCTCTACCACCACCTTTATCCTCCTACAGAATGTTCCACATGCCAGAGCCTTTTGCGTGGAACACTACGCCGGCAGCTTCCACTTCTGTTTTCTCCCCTGCGGCACCTTCAACTGGTCTTCTCTCTGTCTCGGATCAGCAACTGCCTCCGCCACCTGTTTTTGTCGGCTCTACTCTCACTGGCCAGCCTGGCACGGCTCCCATGCAACATCAGTTTTCACAGCATCCAGGTTTCTCCCCTTCATCTTATTTAGCATCCCTGGCCAGTCAATTAGCGTTTTCCACACCCAATGTAACGAATATCGTTACTACTAAATTAAATGCTGTTGAGGATTACCTCCCATGGCGGACTCAATTTGAGTCTTTTCTAGTTTCCCATAGTCTTCTTGGGATTTTAGATGGCTCAATTTCGGCTCCGCCATCCTTCATTCAGGATATTACTCGACGTGAGAGTCCTAATCCTGAATATCATCACTGGCTTAAGATAGATCAGACTGTGCGTTCATGGTTATTTGCTACCTTATCGCGTGAAATTTTAATGGAAGTTTATCATCATAAGTTCTCTGCTCGTATTTGGGAAAGCCTTGAGACCCGTTTTATGTCTGCTTGTCGTGCTCGATCAATGGAACTTAAGCGCCTCTTGTCTCACATTAAGAAGAAAGAATCTCAAACTATTGATCAATATCTGCTTGAAATTAAATTACTTGTTGATGCCCTCACTGCCATAAATTCCCCGGTTAGTAATCATGATTTATTGGAATATACTATCCTTGGATTGGGTCCCGATTATGAATCTTTAATCACGATTATTAATTATATTCCGGGGGATCTTACACTTGAGAAACTGGGTCCTATTCTCGTTGCCCAAGAGCAACGTAATTTGTATCTCCGCTCTCAAGATCCCTCCCCATCTCATCAAGCTTTTGCCGCTGCTCTCAACCGAGGGGGTGCAGCGCGCGGTCAGGGAGGTCGGCCACAAAGCGGGCAGCAAGGAGGGCGTGGTTACCGAGGGGGTCGAGGTCGTGGACAACGTGGCCGAGGATGTGGCTATGGTGGACCACCACAACAATATTATGGTGGGCAGCAGGTCCATGGCGGACAACAGCCGCCACTGCTTCCTCTTCCGCAACATTTTCAAGTGCATGCACAGCAGGGGAATGGTGCACCACGTGGAAATTTTCATTCCAGGAATCCAGGTTCTGTTGGGAGTGTTTCGGAAAATAAAGAAAATTAATTAAATTAAATTAATTAAATAAAATGACAAAAGAAAACAGAAATGAGATGGAGCAGAAATTTGTCAAAGCTCGTGCTACGCACGATGTCCTTTTTTTTTTTTTTTTTTTTTTTTTTTTTTTTTTTTTTTTTTTTTTACCCCGGAAGGCAAACCACCAAAATCAGTGGGGCAGAAGCCGGGGGTCAACTGCCAGAATTTTATTAAATAAATGGAAAAGTACAAACAGAGAAGGGGGCCAAACCAAACTTCTCTAAGAAACAATCAAAGTAATCAAAATTAAAGCAAAAACAAACAGCAAAAAAGAAACTAATGGATCTTACGCAAAGAAGGGAGCCCAAACAAATCCGAATAATAAGAGTTTCGGGCCAGAGGCGGCAGATCAATAACTCGAGAATAAATGCAGTTTCGGCCCATAACAGCAACAGCCAAGTAATGGGCCACCCAGTTGGCCTCTCTCGAATCAACAAAAAAGGAAACACCACTCCCATCAGACAGATCCAACAAGCGAGCAACTCCATCGCATTCTCTACCAAACCTTCGCCGTTTGAGATGCTCCACCGTCTCCCTGGAATCCAACTCAACGAGGAAGTCGCGAAAGCCCAGATTAATCACCCAGGTGACAGCATGGATTAAAGAAGCAAGCTCAGCTTCAAACGCAGAAGCAGCCGTGACCAGGAAGGAGGAGGCGATAATCATCTGGCCTTTATCATTTCTCAAAATGGCTCCCCCAGCAGCGCGATTAGGTAAGTAACTTGCATCAATGTTTAATTTAAGGTTTCCTTTAGGTTTCTTCCAAGTGATTGCTTTAAACGTTGGCCTGCGTAATCTGAAATCCTTTGGAATCAACTGTTCATCAAATAGGATATCGCCCACCTTTACAAGTCTCTTAGAATTAAAGGAGGAAACCCAAGTCTGGGTAAACAATTTAACTTGTATAATAATAATAGCAGGAGTAGGTTTCGTAGCTTCTGTACCCCAAACCAATGAGGAATAACTCTTCCAAATAAACCAAGCAATTATACCAGGCAGACAGTGTTTGAAAATATCGTCAAGTGTCTTAGAGCCAGCCTTGAGCCAACAGGAAATGAATATTTGCCTTATTGACTGAGTATGTGATCGAATAGGAATCCCCAGGATACCCATAAAATATTCCCACACAGGCCTGGTTTTAGAACAACCAAAGAAAACATGATCAACAGAGTCAGATTGACTTCTACAAAGAGGACAAATGGATGGGTTGAGCAAAGCTTGGAATCTGCCCATATTATCAGTAACAGGAAGAATACCATTAAGTAACCTCCACTGAAATAATCTAATCTTTAGAGGAAGATTAGAATGCCATAGGTGTTTAGCAGAAAAGGAGGTAGGTAGTTCCCCTCTTATCTCTTCATAAGCAGACTTGAGAGTAAAAATACCATTAACATTTGGCTCCCAAAAGATAGTACCATCATTGTTTTCACCACAAATAGATGTAGCTAATCCATCAACTGAACAAATTCTTCTCCATATTGGAGAGTCAGAGACTTTAGGAACCATATTAAGACCCCTGGGATATCTAGCCCTCATAAAATTGGCCCATAGAGAGTCACTGACCTTCCATTTCCACCAGAGTTTTAAAGAGAAAGCCTTTTCAATGTCAGATAAGTGTCTAATACCAATTCCCCCCTCCTCAGTTGGATAGCAAAGCTTTGACCAACTAATCCAATGGTATTTTTTCTTTTCATTAGAAGAACCCCAAAAAAAACATGCCATTTTCTTATCAATGATACTGACAACCTTCTTGGGTAGCTTATCAGCTGCCAAAATATGCAGAGGGATAGTATTTAAGACATGTTTTACCAAAATCAGTCTGCCTGCCATAGAGAGATTATTCTGCTTCCAAGTAGAGAGTTTCTGATCAAATTTATGAATTAAGTCCATGCAATAACTAACTCTGTTAATGCCTTTGTGTAGGGGAACCCCCAAATACTTAATGGGAAGGTCAGCTTCCTGCATTCCAAGGATGTGAGAGATCAGTCCAGCTCTGGCTTTTCTACCACACAAGAAGGAACTCTTCTGCAGATTGATAGTTTGTCCAGAGGCTCTTTGGTAAGAGTTTAAAAATTTATTGAAATTCACCAACGATCTAGCTTCACCATTTAAAAAGATCAACAAATCATCTGCAAAACCTAAATGAGATATAGAATAGCCAAATGATCCCATCCAGTACTGCTTGATAGAGCCATGTTCCATATGCCACTTAATACCTCTAGAGAAGGCTTCAGAAGCAAGTATAAATAAGAATGGTGACAAAGGATCACCTTGCTTGACCCCTCTTTTAGGTTGAAAGAAACCGTGGGGCACCCCATTAACAAGAATAGACAAAAAGGTTGACTGCAAATTATTCATAATAACATGAATAAATTTGGGAGAGAAACCAAATCTATTCAGAATATCAGCGATGAATTTCCATGATAGCTTATCAAATGCTTTGGCCATATCTAGCTTAACCATGACATTAGAACCTCTCACCTTCTTATTCAGAGAATGTACCATTTCCTGAGCAATTAAGATATGGTCCACCATATCCTTGTTTTTCATGAATCCAATTTGCTCAGGAGAAATAATTTTAGGTAGGATCAAAGAGAGCCTATCAGCCAAGACCTTTGTACAGACTTTACTCACAAAATTAGAAAGACAAATAGGTCTAAAATCACCAAAGGAGAAGGGATTAGGCACCTTTGGGATTAACACAATGAGACTGCTAGATAGGGCTTTAGGAATAGAAATTCCCAAAAAGAATTCTTGCACTGCTTTCAATAAATCCGACCCCACAATATGCCAGCATTTTTTGAAGAACTTGCCATTAAATCCATCAGGCCCAGGTGCCCCTTTTGGATTAAGATTCCAGACTGCTTTTTTAACTTCCTCTTCTTGTGGTAATTCCATTAATTTATGATTATCTTCATCAGTGACCAGGCTAGGGATAAAGTGAAGAATATCGTGTGAAACAGTGGAAGGAGAGACAGAGTAAAGTTTGGAGTAAAAATCAGAGGCAGCCTTCCCAATTTCAGGTAAAGATGAAACCACCCTTCCAGATTCATCATGAATGGAACTGATAGTTTGCTTCCTGTGCCTTATTTTCACATAAGAGTGAAAATATTTTGTATTAGCATCTCCTTCCTTTAACCAATTGACATGTGCCTTTTGCTTCCAATATTTTCTTTCCAGGTTAAGCTTAGAAATAAGACAAGCCCTATGCTGATTCCATTGCTCTCTATTGTCATCTGTAGGGAAGTCTCTAAAATTCTCTTCAGCCTTCTGCACTTGTGCTTCACATCTTTGAATATCTTCAAAAATATTTCCAAAAGTTTCCTTATTCCAACTCTTTAAATCATTTTTAAGACATTTAAGCTTATACATGAGTCCTCTCATCCCCCCTCCACTTAAGCTCTTTGCCCAGCTTGATTGAACTGTGTCAAGAAAAGTAGAATGCTTGATCCACATGTTCTGAAATTTAAATGATTTAGGTGCACTTGTGTCCTCCCTAGAACACACGCACGATGTCCTTAAAACGTATTTGTTGCCTCCCACGGTGCTAGGAGCGTTGCAACAATAGTTTCCCAGGATACGATGACAACGAACTAATGTTTGAGCACACAAACAAGAGTTCCAACGAACGAGAACAAAGTATGAACACTCAGAAATTTTCAGAAGGACTGGAGGTGTTTTTAGCTCTAAAATACGTGAAGGATGTGTATAAACTCGTGTAAGAACCTGTGTTGTTGCAAACCACCTGCCAGCCATTATATAGGAGGATTTGTTGTATGAAAATAGTGAGTTAATGGACCTGAACGTTGGACATCAATGACCAGTTCGTTGGGCATTGAATCGTCCATGAACTGTCCATTTAACGCTGCATTAAAAGATATAAACGTTGGGCATTTATTGCTGTAACGGTTCAGAAGGCATCAGAAGACCCCTACGTAGTTCTGCCCGAAGGCCATCAGAACTGGAGCAGTTCTGATGCGCGATCATCAGAACCGGAGCATCTCTGCCCGAAGGCCATCAGAACCGGAGCAGTTCTGATGCGCGGTCATCAGAACCGGAGCATCTCTGGTCGTGTGGTCGTGGCCTTCTGCCCGGAGCAATTCTGCTAACTGGGAAAAAATATACATTTCGGGAAGAAAACAAAAATTACCCGTATCTCTTGAGAGATGGATTTTTGGACGACATTCGTGTCCGCAGGTCGCCCGCGCACGCAAGTCGCGGTTTTTCTTCTCCGAATTCGGGATTTGATTTGCACCCCCCCCCCCCCCCCCTGCGCGCGTGGAGAGAGCCTTTACCCTTAAGAATCTTAACTCCATAAGGGGGGAGTCCCTTTATAAAGGGTTGCAAATCCCTTGGGTTTTCCGGTGTGGGAAATTAACACTAGAAACCCATCCTTTTTCCCAGTTTTTCCATTCTAACGGGTAAACTTCGAAAAGCGATTTCTCATTCACCCGTTATCCGTTTTGAGCGTACCATATATCGAATTGTAGCCCTTAACAAGGACAATCCGAAACCACTTTGACCCGACCCAAATCAGAAGTGGACCCCACTCAAAAAATTGCCCCAAAATAGCCATTTAATGCAATTTTTCACACATTTTTCCAACAATCCCCCACATGAATGAAAATTGATTTTCGAGACTTAAAAAGACACGAAGATAGGAGGACACGTTGTGTTCACCGGATGATCCTTGTATACGGAGAGGTAGGTTTAATCCTTTGAACCTTCCGCCGTAAAGACACGTTTATTTACTGGCTGTCTAGTAGACTCGATGTCTTTGAACTATACCGCCGTCGTGTAAACATTGACTTATCTTTACACAAGAACCTTCCAACTTTGTTCCGTTCTCATGGGTGTGCCCGTTTTGGCCATGGGTCACCGTCCTGGTTCTGCAAGAGTTTCTAAAGAACTGAGCCTTTACAGTTCTCCTTTGAA